TCCGCCACCGAGCAGGTCGCGCAGGCCTGGGGCTGCATGGACACTCTGAACCCGTGCAGTCGGCTCGAGAAGCCCACGCGCTTCGAATCAGACCCGCCTGGTTGCTATCGTCTCCGAGACATGCCACTGAGAGACATCGACAACGTGGTAAAAGTGAAGCACGTCGTGGATTGGATCAAGATTGGAACGGAGTGCCAGGAGCTTCCCGACACAAGTGCTGTGGACATGGTCGACATCATGCGCCGCGGCGACTACGCGTCCTTGCCGTCTCCGTTCAAGCCGAAGAAGGACACGGGAGAGCTGGCGTTCACAATGCAGATCTACGTTCTGCCCACCGACCCTGATGGGGTGCAGTCTGTGCTGAAGTATATCAAGTTCGACGACAGTATTCGCGTGGACTTGGTGAAAGATGTGTTCATCGTGGGCACGCCGCTGACGATCCACTGGGGCCGCACTTCTGACACGAAGAAGGTTCGCAAGTTGTTCCACTTCATGATGGACCGCCTTGGGGGCGTGCAGTACCGATACTTCGTGCAGCCGTCCGTGAAGAAGGCAGCTGAAGCGGGCACTTACGACAGGATTTGTCGAACGGCTGGTTACACCTTCATTCGCGATCATGGACCACGGAGCAATGCCCAGAACCAATTCGTCGAGTGGACGGATGATCAGATCCACCTCGAGAGCAGTCCGATCTTCGGGTGGACGCCTGGGGATGTCAAGGACCAGGCGGCTAAACGGACGCGCGGCGTAGAGCGCGTCCCCTTCGCGCTGGGCGCAGACCTGATCGTCGCGCCAGCTTGAGGGGAGGTGCTCGGGCGCGCGTCCGTTCGGCAGCCTCACAGGAGAGCTTGCGGAACTACGCCAACGGCACCGTGGGCGCGCGGACGTTGATGTCGTGGTGCCACGCTTTGAGGCAGTTCCATCCGACGATCCTGAACAACATCATTGCCCCCGCACTGCGCACTCACGATGTACATTCGATCGTGTGGATCGGGAAGACTCGCGTCGGGAAGTCGTCCGCTTCTAAGACGACCTGCTTCGCCATCTCGGCTTACCAGATCGACAAGCACGGCCGCTCTGACCTGAAGCCGAGCGTCGTCACCTCCAAGAGGATTGATTTCTTTCGCCTCGAGCCAGGGAGCCTCTTCAAGCCCGCGATTGCCGACGACACGGTGATGTCGAAGTGGGGCACAGACGACGTCAAGGCGTTCCACGACCCGGCCGAAGAGGACGCCTTGCTCTGGGCTCGATGGGGCGGCGCGCAGTTCATGATGAACCAGGCGCGGCAATCCTGCGTGAACGCCTACGACAAGGATTTTGAGGCCCGCGTCCAGCCCGTTCGGCCTGGAGCCGAGGCAATCTCCTTTGACGATTTCGTCCGCATTATCCAGGCGAACTTTCCCCGCGACGCGCGGGGGTCGTTCGAGATGGCAGACGCGGAGGCGTACCTCGCGAGGAGCCACGTTGTCCTCCTGTCGGACAAGCGCATTTACTTCCGCCTGGCTTCCACGGACAAGGAGTCGGTGCCGTTTTTTGCCTGGCCGAACCCAGCCCAGCCCGACCTGTTCGTGCCCGAAAGCAGAGACACCATGAAGAAGTACAAGAAGGACCAGACGTACAAGCCGCCTAACTTCGAGATCGACTTCAAGTGGGGCCAGGCATTCATGCGGAGGCTTGCAAGAGGCGAGGCAGTGCAGCCAGCCGTCACAGTGCGAGGCCCTACGCTGTTCGACGCCCAGGCGCCAGACCGCTTCTTCTACCCTCCGATGGGCGAGGGAGCGGAGGCGCCGACGCGCGCGGCCCCTCCCCCTCTGATGGGCGAGAGCACAGATGCGCCGCCGCGCGCGGCCCTTCCGCGCGGCGGCTGCCCAGTGGACTCACAGGACAAGGTCGACAGGGACCGCGAGATGGCCAAGTACCTGGGCGGTTTGGCGAGGGCGCACGACCGCGAGAGCATCGACCTCTTGAGCCCACCCAAGAAGGCCGCGAAGAGCTTCAATAAGCTTTTTGCGTCTTGTCCTCGAGACATCGACCTGGACGGCGCTTCCAGCGAGGACTCACCATCGGCGCGGCGCGCGCGCGCCGTGTTCGATGCCGCCGATGCCGACGAGGAGGCCGCGGCAGCGTTGGGGATCATGTCAGAGCAAGCGGAAGCGGAGGCGGGCATGCCCGCCCCCGCGCGACCAGGGGCGGCCTCGGACAGCGGTAATCTTCGCCCCGTCAAGTTGGAGCCAGGCGTCTTCGCCAAACTGGCGCCCTCGGGCGGCCCGCCGCTGATCATCGATGACAGCGACGAAGAGGCGCCCCATGGCACGGGCGACGGCCTCTTCGGTGCAGGTTTCAAGAACTGTTGCATGGTCGACGCCCTGAACGCCCTCGGATTCAACGTTCCGCACACCCAGGATGGGCCGTTCAGCATCAACGATGCCGAGGCCATGATCGCTGGAGACGGGTGCGTGATCGCCCGTGCGTCCATCCGCGGAGCTTGCGCCGTGCCCACAGGCCGCTACATCGCAACGTACGGCTCTGCGCCTGGGGTGACGGGGCACGCCGTGGCCGTTCTCGTCTTCCTCGGAGGATTCATCGTGTTCGACGGTGATGTGCGCGCCTGCCACACGGGCCACGTCTCGTGGCATATCATGCCTGAGGGCGTGCGTGCCGAGGAATGCAATTGGTGGCAGGTTCGGGGTGCCTGAGTAGGCAGTAGGCGGCGCCAGCGCTGCGCCTTCGCCGCCTCCGCCGTGATGGCGATGCGCACGATGCAGCAGTGCGCATGATGATTCCCCGACCCTCGCCCCCAGCGAGGCGCAACCGTGCAGGCGCCGTCGGGGACACACGAGACCTCATTTGTGCATATCGGGGACGGGGGGCAGCGCCTGTGAACGGGGCAGGGCGTTGCGATGGCCATGCTCTACTGAAAAAAGGCCAACAACGCTTGTTTACTTTTGCCGCGGTCAAAGTTGCGACTGCGCGCGGTCGCAATTGTAGTCCATGTGTTTGCCGATCATGGTGTTCGGTCCGTAGCACTTTGGTTCAAACTTTGGCTTTGGATTGCAGCCTCGCCACTCCCATTGCCGTTCGCCTCGTCAATCATGCCTCATGGTGGCAAGGCCTCCCAGGCGGACAAGCACAAGCGTGCGCACCGCGTGCAGCAGGCTTCGTTGAAACGGAAGCCCGCTTGCGCGACTCTCCATTCTAAGAAGTTGTCTGGCATTCGCAGGGTGTCGTTGACGAAGGGGAGCCGCATCAGCAAGAAGTCGATGATGAAGAAGGGTAGGGCGGCAACTAAAAAAGAGGCTCCTGGTCCATCCTACATTCCTCCGAATCAGAAACAAGCTGATCGCCCTTCTCTCGCCGCGCTACCTATATCCAAGAGGATCGCCGTGGTCGACATGGCGCGCATCAGTCCCGAGCTCCTCGCGCGTATCATGATAGAGATCGGGGTGCTACCAGATCTGGGGGGCGAGTGCACGGCGTGCCAGTGCGGCACAATGGAGTTGAAGCTTCGGGGCGGCCAGTCGGACAAGGACATCCAGGTGGCGGGCTTCAGCATACCTCAAATGGATTATCCGATTTGGCGCTGTTCCAATTGGGATTGCCAGAGGCGATGAGCGAACCAAGCACGCCCATACCCACGGGATAGACGGAGGGTGGGGAGGGGGAGCCCATGGGTGCGCGTTGTACGGGCATGGGCGTGCGTTGTTCGCCCATCAAGAGGCGCGAGTCGAACCTCGACCCGAAGGGCCCTCTGAAGGAGTTGTTCAACAAGGGCTCCGTGAACACCACCCGCGCCCTCCTCGCCATCGCCCATGCAGCAACCCAGCATGCCTCGGGCTACGAGTCGTCGGACGAAATGGCTGTGCAGGTGGGGATATCGAAGAATGCAGCCCAGCGCATCACTAGTGTCGTGCGGTCCATCTGCGCCCGCGTTGCCAAGGCTGAGCAGGACGACTTCGCGTGGCCTCGCGGGTGCCTCGTTGAGGCCGACGAGGCGTCAATGCGCGCTTGCCGCGTGACTTGCCCGCGAGATTGTTGTGATACGACGTGCGGCGAGCACCCTTTTGGGCGTTGCCGCATATTACATCGCCGATTCATGTGCGTGTGTCCTCGGGGGCAGCGCCAACTGGCGATGTTTTTCGAGCTGCCCCAGCGGACCTGCGCCGCTGGGGGAAGCGGCGTTTCACTCAGTGGGCCCGAGTGCGACGAGATCCTCTCTTGGGTTCTCGTGCCTGGCAATTTCACGCTTTTGACGGATGGCGCGGGCGCGTACCAGTCCGTAGCACCGAAAAGCCGTGCTGCTTACAGCGACAAGAGCAAAGACCCTCCTCGTTTCAATGCTGACCGCTTCAAGCTGCATTATAAGCATCTGAAGCTATCGCACGGCATAGTTTCTCACGATGCAGAACAGTGGGCCGTCGTCGACCGCGTGCGCGTCGTGCGCCCGAACGGGCGCACCGAGACTCTTCATTTGGAAAAAGGCACGCAGTGTTGCGATGGCCTCTGGCCTGAGATGCGCGACAGCATCCCAGACAGCGTCCACACTTCAGACTGGGAGCGTTGCCGCTCGTACTTGTGGGCTTGGGTGTGGCGCATGCGGAGGTCAGGCAACGACCTGCTCCAGGAGTTTGGCCAGTCTGTTCGCAGGGAGAGAGGCTGCATGCATTAAGTCGCCAAATCAGAGCGCGCAGCCCGCCCATGTGCAGAAGGCGCAGGCTGCGACCTCTCGCGTGCAGTTTTGTCGGCGCCTTGCTTCTCCGCAGCCCGCCCATGTGCAGAAGGCGCAGGCTGCGACTGTTCACGAGCAGATTTTGTCGGCGCCTTGCTTCTTCTAGAAAAAACACCAAAACCGCCCAGGCCTACATCGGGTCTGCTTTCGGAGGAGGAGGAGGAGGAGGCGGAGACGGAGGGGGAGGAACAGGTGGAGGGGAAAAAAGGTGGAGGAGGGGGGGAAGAGGACTCTGTGTTAGAGGAGGCAGCGAGCAGGAGGAGGCCACGGCGAGGTCCCCGCCTAGCCCCACGACCAAGCCCCGCGCCATCGTCGACGACAGCACGGTCGCGGCGCTTTCCGTTGCCTTTCGCCACCGCCGTCGCCGCCGCAGCCGTCGCCGTCGGTGTCGTCTTCGTCGTCGTTGCAACCGTCCTCGTCGTCGTCGATCGTCTTAGGTCCTCGAGTGACGAGCAGGAGAAGGAGGAGGAGAAGGAGGAGGAACAGTGGGAACAGGGAAGTGTAGTGTCAAAAGCGTGTTAGCCAGATGAGGGGGAGGAGGAGGGAGAAGCGGGGAGGGATGATGATGGTGATGATGACGGTGACGATGATGTTGATGACGATGTTGATGTGTCCGACGATGTTGCTGCTGCTAATGGTGATCATGATGATGCTACTGATTATGATGATGATGGTGATGTTGCTGAAGATGATGATAATCTTGCTGATGCTGCTAATGGTGATGATGCTGCTGCTAATAGTGATGATGATGTTGATGGTGCTGACGATGATGCTGATACTGCTGATGCTGCAGTTGATAATGGTGATGAGGCTGCTGCTAATGGTGGTGATGATGCTGATGATGATGATGATGATGATGATGATGATGATGATGATGGTGGTGATGATGATGATGATGATGGTGGTGATGATGCTGCTGATGATGATGCTGACAATGATGCTGCTGATGACGATGATGATGATGATGACGACAAGGACGCGGAAGAGGAGCAGGGGAGGAGGAGGAGGAGGAGGAGGAGGAGGAGGAGGAGGAGGAGGAGGAGAGGAGTGGGGAGGGGGGATGCGGAAGGGGAGGAGGAGGTCGAGAAGGGCAGAGAGAAGAAAAGGGATGACCAGGATGACTGTAGGAGCACGCGGGAGGACCGGGCCTCGCCTCGGCTCGCGGTCCGGGCACGTGCGCCCTGATCGGGCTGCGTGTGCGCGTGCTGGTGTCGTGGGCATTCATACCTATCATGGCGCCAACGTCGCAGAGTGGATTCCGTTGGGAAAACAGTGGGATGAGCCCAGATAGTCCTGGAGAATTTCCTTTCGGATTTCGATGTGAATTTTGGGCGGATTGTTCTGCCAGGAATGAAGACTCCACAGCATCCACGCGAAATTCACTTCGTTTTTCGCTCGCCATTTCGGGATGTAACATTGACTGAAATCCGCGCAAAATCCGCTGCAGCACGTCTGTAAGATCGGTGCAGTGAGTCGTTGAAAGCATGTACTTCTGCACCCTCCGATTCCATTCTAGTTTCGGTGCCTTCCTATTGGAGAGTCCAGTGGTGTTCCCTCTTCACTCCTCTTTAGGGGCTGGCGGAAACCCAATCTACTTCCAGCGCCTTCCTACTTCATGCTTCTACCCCGTCCATCCGACCGATGGGTACACATGGCAGATTATGTTGTGCTTCTAGTTGTTCCTCAACTCCGGCTTCTGAGGGGCGGCTTCAGGCCCCTGGACAATAAAACAATGTACCGCAATGACCTCCCCCCTTCCCCCCGGAAAGGGGTCGGAAGTTCTGCCCCTGCATTGAGCAAATCACGACGTCGGAGGTCTGGCCTCAGCGGTTCGCACAAATGTTCGGCTGTCCGAACCGCGCTCCCAGACTCAAGTTGAGGCTAATGTTGATGATGAGATGGAGGATGATCACAGACGGCCCATGGAGAGCGGCGGGCAGTGCACGTCGCGCGGAGTTTCGATCCTGGGCGCCGCGAGCTTGCGCAGCCCCACCAGGGACTCCGCTCCCCTCCGTCGGCTTCCGCCGCCCTTGCTGCCCCCACGCTAGGCCACTCAACGGGCATCGCCGCCGATGGACCCAGAGCGCTCAGTCAGCCCGGCGCCACAGGGCCCGCTTCGCTTCCCCGACGCTCCCCGAGCGTGCCTCCGCATAGCTTCCTCAATCTAACAACTCACCTAAAAAGAAGCCACATAAGCAATGCAGACTGAACGGGCTCGATTGCGCGGAAGGTTGCGCGTGGGCGCCCTCTCATCCAAGCGGTGTGCCACGCAAGCGGCCCGCGTAAGGCACCGTAAGGTCGCCGTGTCTTCGCGCGTAAGACCCGCCTCTTCGTCGCTCACAGGGGCTCTCTAGCCACGAGGTCCCCCCTCCTCCCCGCGGGTAGGCATCGGAGTGGAGATGCCCAGTGTAGTGCGACGGCTGGCGCGCTGGCCGCGACTGCCTCCGGGCGCACCGCCTGCTCTGGCGAGAGCGTCATCGGCAGGGCTTAGACCAGCAGCGCCAGAGGGCGGGGGACTGGGGGTGGAGGGTCGGGGTGCTGCGATGGGTTCAGACCCCAACGGGACGGGTGATACCCCAACAAAACGGGTGACAGCCCAGCGGTTGTTGGAGATGCTTGGGACGGGTCAGGCCCAGACGGGCGCTTCCAAGCTTTCTGGTTTTCGTGCCACTTGCATTTTGTTCTCCAGAAATGACGAAGGAACAACACACACCCATACCCATAGGGGGGGGTCCTTGCGAGGAAGACTGGCTATGGGTATGGGTGCGGGTTGTCTGACCCTGGGGAACGCTCCCGTTCGAGCGGGGACCCCCATCCGACAACACGCACCCATAGCCCTCTCCGACCCCCCTATGGGTATGGGTGTGTGTTGTCGGCTCGTCAAGAATACTCGATTGGACTCCTGAAGGAAGATCAAGGATGCATCGCCATGCGTCGTTGGGTCTCTGCCATCCAACAAACACAGTTGATTGTACCATGTGGCACATTTTGCCATGTGGGCAGGCCATCGTGCTCACATGAGATCCGTATGGAATTCAAGGGAAGATCGCCCGGCCTTCGTGTGCGGCACCGTATCGGCGTTTGGCATCACATGAGCCGCATGGCTTCCATCTGACACCGTGTGCCTGTGTGTGTGGTTGTGCGTGTGTGGAGCCGTATTGTTTCCAGGTGAACTCCGTAAACAAGGCATATGGTATACATGTATGTTGTGTATCAAGTTCGGGCGGGTTCCTACTGCGGTGCATCTGATCTTCATCATATGCAATATACATGGCTTCTTAACGCGAGTCGCGTGATTTCCATATGGGGGCAGTGGCATTCGCTCTAGTGTGAAGTAAAAGACTTGCATGCATGTCGTTTGAACGACACTTGGCTTTCAAATTGCTTTATATGGTTGGCCAGTCGAGAATCATTGCGTGGGAGCACACTTCTGTCTTCATAGTCGCCCAGATGTTATGCGTTAGTCGTCTTGTGTAGGAGAGCCGTATGACTGTCATACGGAATTCGTGCGGCATTTCATGTGGAAGTTGTATCGGACTTCACATCTGAGACAGGTGTCATAGATATGATTGCGGCATTTGTTTGGCGCCCACGCAGGAATCATATGGCTCACGTGTTACAACCATACCGTCTTCACGTGAGACCCATCCGGTGTCCACATCGGAACATTGCGGCTCCCGCGTGCGAGTCGCATGGTTTTCATTCCATTGTTCCAGTGTGATGACCACGCTGTGCATTGTGCGAGAACCATGTGGATTACACTTGGCATACTCATGACCTCCACGTGATATCCGTAGGATGTCACATGCGATACATGTGTTATATGATGTTCATGCAAAGGCGCACGGGAACGTTACGAGAAGCAGGCTGTGTGTTTTTGGGAGCCACAGGCTATTCATATGATGGCATGCCTGTGGCTTTCATCCAGCAAGACGCTGTGTCATCATATGGTCATTTACGGTAGCCATGTGTGTTTCAATCACCCAGCCAGTCCGTCTTTTTCAGGCCTTCAGCACCCACAGTCTGCCTTCGCTGCGCACCGCGGCTGCGGCCTAGTACAGGGCATACGTACGGATCATGCGGAAACGTCTCACAAGCGTGGCATACGCACGGAGATCGCAGACGGAACGTGACGTATTCGAAACCGTGCCCCACATATGTGCATACGTACGTCTTTCCCACATCGTTATGTTTGAGTTGGTGTTCCCCACTTCTTGAGCATGGGGTTATTGTTATTAGTGTCGCGCCTCCGCCTCCAGAAGGGGAATGAGGTGCATAAGGAGGAGCATGAAGACCGATGCGACGGGACAACGGAGGAAGGAGGAGCGGCATCAGGATGAGGATGTGGGAAATGGAGATGGGCAACGGCATTCTCTCGCTCGCCCCCCCAACCCCCCTCGTACCTCTCTCACATCCGCCCACATCCGCCATCCCTCATCTTCCACCTCCCTATCAGCACCTCCTTTCGTCATCCAGTTACCCCTCACTCACCTCACCACTCACCTCACCTCTGCACTCAGCGCAGCGAGCGTGGACTCGGTACGAGCTCACCCCATCCAGGACACTTGGCATGAATCTTTCCGCGGGCGAGTTCGCTGACAACGTCGCGACCTTGCTCGGTGTCGATGTGCTGGACGAGGGCAGCGCGTGCCCGCTTCGCGCGGCCCCGCTGGACGCGAAGGGTACTCATTGCTTGTCGTGCAAGAGCGGTGGGGGCGCCACGCTTGTGCATCATGCGATCAGGGGCGTCTTCTACGACTATTCTGCTCGCGGCGGGCTGCGCCCGGAGCTGGAGGCAGCAGGGCTACTGGGCGATCCTGGGGCGCAGGGTGCGCGGCAGGCAGCTGATGAGCAACGCCCGGCAGATGTGCTTGCGATCCCCCACATCACCTTAGCGCAATATCTGCTGGGCGGCAGCCGCGCGGTGAGGGCCGAAAGGGTTTGCCTCGACTTCGCGTTGAGAGCGCTTTGGGGCCGTCGCACTGGGCAGGCACGGCGATGGCGCCAGGGCTCGCGGCAGAGTCGTACGACGAGCACAAGCAGCAGCGCAACAGAACGGAGGAACGATGTCGTGAGCGCGGCCTCCAGTTCCGGCCAGTCGCGTTCGAGGCCCAGGGCGGCATGCCGACGGGGCGCGGGCGCCGCATTTCGCGCGTTGGCGGCGGTGGTGGCGGGCAGAGCGGGCAGGGAGGCGGCCACAGTGCGGCGGGAGATGCTTCATCATATTGCCGTCGTCGTGGCGAGAGGTTGCGCTGCGCGCGTAGCCGCCCGCCAGCGGGCGAACGCACGCGGTGTTCGCGCCTCGTGGGCGTCAGCGGCCAGACTAACGTGGGCCTCGGACCACGAGGACCCCTAGTTTTCTCTCCCCTTTCCTCCTCCTCCTCCTCCTCCTCCTCCTCCTCCTCCTCCTCCTCCTCCTCCTCCTGTCCGTCCTCCCCCTGTCCTCGTTGTAAGGCGCGGGCGCGCGCGCCTGACGGCGGGGCCGGGTGGCCCACACCCCGCGGCCGCGCCCTCGCCCAGTGAGCTTTCGCTGCGCGTTGTGCGCAGCGGTCATTTCCCTCCTCGCCCCCCCTCCTCCCTTCATTTCCTCCCCCCCCTCCTGCCCGCCCAGCCCCCTCCGATGTGGTGACGTTAACCTGGCCGGCCACTGTTGCGCGCTGCCGCTTTCGTGCTCGAGGCCACTTTCGTTGGACGTGGTTATAGCCCACATGAGGGGAACCGAATCTAAAGCTGAATGCCCCTGGACGGGCAACGTGCGCTTGTGCTCACACCTGTTCGAGAACGGTGCGTTTGCTCCGTGGGCGGAGTTGTCCGTTTAACATCATTCTTGGCACAGGGGCTTGTACATCCTGCGTCTAGTGGCGGCTTGGCCTCCAGCCTCAGCCCCACGGGGCTGCCAAGGGGGTCTTGCCTGAGTCCTTGTTGTGGCATCTCCTTGGGCCCCTCCATGCGAGGGCCAGCGCGCTACCGGCGCCCAGCCCAGTGCCCCGCCCCCGACGGCCCCCGCACTGTAGGTCCGCTTCTCCCCTGGCCCCCGAGTCTTGGACATCTCGTTTCACGTGCCATTTCAGGCGAACCCCCAAGCGGTGTTTGCGTCGAGAGGGTCTTACGCGATTCGTTTTTGGGCCATGCGCTGCCCGGTGCCGTAGGTGCGCCTTCTGTTTGCGCTTTCCCGTGCTGGTTCCAAGAGCTTATCCCCATGGCCACCATCGAACCATAGTATCCGTTGTTTTAGTGCCCGTTCCCCAGCGTCGCCGCCTCGAGGCGTGTGGTGCAAAAGTAGCTCACTTCACCTCTTCTCCACCGCCATCCCTTTCCTCCTCCCGCTTCCCTCCTCCCCCTTCTCCTCCGCCCACGCTCTGCCTCCCCTCTCCCTCCCCTGCCCCCCCCATCCACTCCCTCTTCCCCTGCCCCTCTTCCCTGCGGCTCGCACTCTCCCTGCGGCGGCGGAGGAGGGGGAGGAGGAGCCTCACGCCCTCGCGTCGCAAAGGGGGGCCGTGCGCCCCCGTCGCCCAGGTGGCGCTCGGCCGACAGCACGTCTCCCAGCGGGAGCAGCCGCCCGGCCGCGGGAGGAAGGGACTTGTGCGGGGGAATTTCCGAAGGACTTAGGCGCCCGTCCTCCTCCTCCTCCTCCTCCTCCTCCTCCTGATCCTCCTCCTCCTCCTTCTCCTGCTCCTCCTCCTGATCCTCCTCCTCTTCCTCCTTCTCCTCCTCCTCCTCCCCCTCCTCCATATCCTCCTCCCCCTCCACCTCCACCTCCTCCTCTTCCTCCTCCTCCTCCTCCTCCTCCTCCTCCTCCATCTCCTCCTCCCGCTCCCCTCCTCCTCCTCCTCCTTCTCTTCCTCCTCTTCCTCCTCCTCCTCGTCCTCCTCCTCCTCCTCCAACTCCTCCTCCTCCTCCTCGGGTCGCCTACGGCCCCGGGGGAAACCGTGTGGGGAGATGATGGGAGAAGGGTCGATTCGTTTTCTTCGAAAAGGCCGCGGCGGAGGAAGGGACGATGAGGGAGGGAGTGTAGTGGATGGGGGGAGGGAGGGTAGGCGAGGGAGGGAGGGAGGGACGAGGAGACGCCTTTGGGGCATGAGTTGGGTCCCTTTCGAAAAAATAAACCATCGAACACACAGCATCCGTTCGGCTGAACGCAGATATTGCATATCAAGTTTGTTGTGGGCCAGTACGCGTCCCCGTCCGTTGGCAGGCGTACGAGTTAGGCCGCTTCGCACCCTTTCTGGTCAGCCTTCTCCGCAAGTGGTTGAAGGCAGGGCTGGACCTAAACGCTGTTTTGCTGGACTTCGTCTGACTTTTGTTTTTCGTTTTGGTAGGGAGGTACAGGAAAACAGGTAGAGCAAAACGAATAACAAAACAAAACAAAGCAAGAAACAATGTTTAGGTCCAGCCCTGGTTGAATGCACCGCGTATTGTTTCAAAGCGTTGAGCTGGAACTGCCGTATGCCAGAAACGGTTCCATGTCGGTTCCGGGCCCCCGCGATCTAGAGCATTCGGTCATTGCGGATTGACAACCAGCGGGGGGCGGCGGCACTGGTGCACGGATGCTTGTTTCCCGATCTTCCCGTGGTGTTGGGTTTTCGTTTTGACCAGACAGTGGCCCGCGTCATCTTTCTTCCTTCTGCCCCCCTCCCTTCCCCCGTCCTTACCTCCGCTCTCCACATCAGCCTACCAGTTCGGCACAGCTCTCACACGCTCTGTGGCGCCATGGATAGCTCCACCGAAGGCCCCAGTGGCAGGGTCCACATGCGATTCCCCGACCGCTGCATGTCCATTTCGGCACACCCCTCACGCGTTTCGTGGCCCCACGGGGGGCTCCACCGAAGGCCCCTGTGGCAAGGTCCCCATGTGGCTCCCCGCAGGTCCGTTTCGGCAAACCGCTCACTGGCTTCGTGGCCCCATCGGGAGCTCCACCGAAGGGCCCACTGGCAGGATCCACATGCGGTTCCCCGCCCACAATATGTCCATGCTGGCACACGCCCCACACGTGTCATGGTACCATTGGGAGTTCCACCGAAGGCCCCAGTGGCAGGGTCCACATGCGGCTCCCCGCCTATTGCATGTCCATTGCGGCCCCCACCCATCAGGCGTTTCGTGACCCTATTTGAGATTTTGCCGAACGCCCCAGTAGCACCGCATGTCCATGCCGGCACACCCCTCCCGCTTTCGTGGCTCCAAGAGGTTGGGCTTCCCCGAGTTTAACCGCGAGGCCTGACCTGATGATGGGCCCGCCCGAGCCTCGCCTTTTGTCCTCTGTCAAAGTGTTCGGCCTGGCGCGTCGCGGGGACCCCCCTGCGCTCTGCGTCCAGGAACTGCCCGACTACCGCGCGCTCTGCTTGGCGCCCAGCCCGTTGTCAGCCATCCGTTTTTTCCTGCCCCGTGCCGTGAGCGAGCCGCGCGCGTCGCCGGGACTCCTTCGGGCGCGAGGGAAGGATGTTGACATAAAACAGTGGTTCCCGGGGCGTTGGCCGCCGCGGGGCAGGCGGGCAGGGGACAGGGGCGCCATGCGCGACGGAGGCAGGGAAACACGGCGACAAAAAACGAAACGGGTCCAGCGGGCCGCGGGCGGCCCAGGGCGCCCGCGCGGACTTTTGGGCAGCGCACTCGGCGCGGCCAGCCTGGGGCGCTCGAGACCCTCGCGGAAACCTTGAGACCCCAGTGGCCGACGCACCAGACCCACCAGGGAGGGGGGGCGGGGGAGCTGCGCCAGCAGCGAGCCCGCGACCTGCAGAGGAAGCGACGCCCTGCAAAGCACCCTCCTGGGGCACCACGGGCGGCACCGAGGCGCCACCGCGACCGCGACGGGGCCTTGAAAGAACCCTTGCGAACCGCCACGGGGGCCCCGGTACCCCTGGCGCCACACAGACGACGCCTGCGAGCACCAGAGGAGGGAGCTCAGAAGGCCACTGCGAGCCCCCGCTGAAGCAGGCCACGCTGCTTCGGCAGCGAATGTCGACAATTAGCACCGCGCCCTGGGCGCGGGCGGAAGGAAAACCGATCGGAAGCGACGAGTCACCGAATCCAGCCATAGCGACCAGGGGCGTAGCCGGCTTGGAACCCCCCCCCAGGAGACACGTTCATGGACAATGAGGAAACTTGGTGTGAGACTGCGGCGCGCGGAGCTTTGGCCAAGCCCAGAAGACCCCCTCTCGCCCGCGTCGGCCTTCCCCCCATCCACGCCACAGTTCAGTTGGTGGCAAGGCTGGGCCTAAACGTTGTTTTGCTGAGCTTCGCCTGCGTTTTGTTTTTTTTCGATTTGACAGGGGGGTGCAGGACAACGGGCGCAGCAAAACAGCCAAGCATAACGATTGCAAAACGAAACGCAACGCTTAGGTCCAGCCCTGGTTGGTGGCCCCCGCCTTTCATTTCATGTACCCCGCGGTGCTCGAAGGCCCCGGCGGCGGCCCCCGCGTTGCGGCTCGCCGCGCTTCGACGCGCCAGCCGCGCGCGTTGGGTCCCCGCGAGGAGTTTCACCGAAGGCGACGCTCACGTCGATGGCGGCACTCACAGTTGCATATGGTTGTGTTCCTCGCTATTTTAATCCGTAAGGGCTTCGCCCCCTGCCGCCGGCCCCCTCTCTCGGAGAATGGGCCATGGAAGAGCGAAATCATGAGGCTTTGGCTTTGCCGTGAAGCAGTGTCGGGACCTATTTGTTTTTCGACCCTGACCCTGCGGATCTGCGTGAGGGGTGCCCGCGAATTTCAGACATGTGGCAAATCCCTTTTGTTTTTGGACCTTGACCCGACGGATCTGCGTGAGGGGTGCCACCGAATTTCAGAAATGTTTCAAATCCCAGCTGTTTTTGGACCCTGACCCCGCCGATCTGCGTGAGGGGTGCCACCGAATTTCAGAAATGTGGCAAACCCTTGGAGCGCCTTGTCGGGCCGCTGCGGAAGCGCTCCCGCTCGCGCCGGCTCGCACGGAATGCTTGTCGGGCCGCTCCGGAAACGCCCCCGCTCGTGCAGGCCCCCACGGAATGCTCGTCGGGCCGCTCCAGGGGCGCTCTGGCTCGCAGGCCGAGCGCTTGGAAGCGGTTGGGCGCGCCTGGGAGCGCCTGGGCTTGGATTTCGGGCCTGCCGACGCCGCGTTCGATTTGGGCAAATTTGGCAGATTCTGGCCGACCCGGCAAAATGTCAGTGGCTCCACAAAAACGGCTCCCAAAACACATTTTCTTTATGATTTGATTTGGTTTTGGGCTCCGGTACGCCCCGGCCAAATTTCAGGCGGCCCGCTCGTGCCAGCTCGCACAGAATGGTCGCCGGGCCGCTTCGGGGGCGCTCCGGCTCGCACGGAGCGCTTGGGCGCGCCTGGGAGCCCGCGGGAGCGCCTGGGCTTGGATTTCGGGCGCGCCGACGCCGCGCTCGATTCGGGCAAATTTGGCAGATTCTGGCCGACCCGGCAAAATGTCAGTGGCTCCACAAAAACGGCTCCCAAGTCAAATCCACTTTATTCTTTAAAATGATTTTGGGCTCCGGTACGTCCCCGGCCAAATTTCGGGCGGCCCGCTCGTGCCAGCTCGCACGGAGTGCTCGTCGGGCTGCTCCAGGGGCGCTCCGGCTCGCACGGAGCGCTTGGGCGCGCCTGGGAGCCCTGCAGGAGCGCCTGGGCTTGGATTTCGGGCGCGCCGACGCCGCGATAGATTCGGGCAAATCTGGCAGATTCTGGCCGACCCGGCAAAATGTCAGTGGCTCCACAAAAACGGCTCCCAAGTCAAATCCACTTTATTCTTTAAAATGATTTTGGGCTCCGGTACGTCCCCGGCCAAATTTCGGGCGGCCCGCTCGTGCCAGCTCGCACGGAGTGCTCGTCGGGCCGCTCCGGGGGCGCTCCGGCTCGCACGGAGCGCCCATGGGCGCGCCTGGGAGCCCAGGAGCGCCTGGGCTTGGATTTCGGGCGCGCCGACGCCGCCCTCGATTCGGGCAAATCTGGCAGATTCTGGCCGACCCTGCAAAATGTCAGTGGCTCCTCAAAAACGGCTCCCAATACACATTCTCTCCATTATTTAATTTGGTTTTGGGTTCCGGTGCGTTCCCGGCCCAATTTCGGGCGGCCCGCTCGTGCCAGTTCGCACGGAGTGCTCGCTGGGCCGGTCCGGGAGCGTTCCGGCTCGATTCGGGCGACGGATCTGCGTGAGGGGTGCCACCAGATTTCAGAAATGTTGCAAATTCCAAATGTTTTTGGACCCTGGCCCCGCCGATCTGCGTGAGGGGTGCTAGGAAATTTCAGGTGTCCGCGCGACGGGGGGGGGCCGAAAACCACCCTGCTTAGCTCCCCCCGGGAGGGTTCTCAGAATTCCAGGGGGGGAAAAATTGTCACCCTTCATGCAGATCGGCGGGGTCAGGGTCCAAAAACACAAAGGATGTACCACATTTTTGAAATCCGGTGGCACCCCTCACGCAGATCGGCGGGGTCAGGGTCCAAAAACAGCTGGGATTTGCAACATTTCTGAAATTCGGTGGCACCCTTCACCCAGATCGGCGGGGTCAGGGTCCAAAAACAGTTGGGATGCTCGCAACCCCCAGCGCCGGCGAGGTATCATCTGATCCGGCTAGGACGCCATTCGGCGTGACCTCCCAGGAGTCCACGAACGTGGCGACCCTTTCGCATGTCACACGAATGTGGCGACAGTGATTCAGTTCGCCACCCCCCAGCTTCGGCGAGGTTTCATTTGATTTGGCTAGGACGCCACCCCGTTGGACATTTCAGGGAACGTGGCGACGGCCTCGCGGCTCGCAGCCCCCAGTGACAGCGAGGTGTCACTTGATCGAAGTCGGACGTCGCCCCGCTGGAATTCCCAGGAACCCACGTCAGTTGCGACCGTCTCGCAGCTCGCAGCCCCCAGAAAATCGGACGTCACTCCGCTGGACCTCCCAGGAGCCCGCGAATGTGGAGACAACTTTTCAACTAGCCAATTCCAGCGACAGCGAGGTCCCATCTGATCTGGGAGGGGCGCCACTTCGTTGGACCGCCCAGGAACACACGACACTGTCGACAGTTTCGCAGCTCGCAGCTCCCAGCAACTGCGAGGTGCCATCTGATCTGAACAGGACATCGTTCCGCTGGGTTCCCCAGGAGTCCCCAGGATGTCACATCTGATTTGGCGAGGACGCCCTGACGACAGTTTCGCAGTTCGTAACCCCCAGCGACGGCGAGGTCTCATCTGATCTGAATAGGACGTCGCTCCGCAGGGTCCCCCGACAGTGGTGATAGTTTCGCAGCTCGCCACCCCCAGCGTCGGCGAAGTCTCTTCTGATTTGGCTATGACGCCACTCCGCTGGACTTCTTGGGAACCCACGATCGTTGCGACAGTTTCGCAGTTCGCACCCAGGAGCCCAAGACAGAGGCGACAATTTCGCAGCTTGCGGCCCCCAGCGACAGCGAGGTCTCACCTGATCTGAAAAGGACGTCGCACCGCTGGACTTCCCAGGAACCCACGAACGTGGCGACAGTTTCGCAACTTGCAGCCCCCAGCGACGGGGAGGTCTCATCCCATGCGAATAGGACGTCACTCCGTTGGACTCCCGAGCTGTTCTCGAACGTGTCGAACGTGTCACAGTCCGCAGCCCCCAGGGAGGACGGTGAGGTCAGAGGCAGGCTGGCACGCAGGTACAAGCCATGTGGAAGTGAAGAGATGAGAGAGGGGGGAAGAGAGGAAGCGGGATGTGGTAAGAGGAGACGTGACCCTATTGCTACATTCAAAACGAGAACCCAACGCAATATGGTTAGGAACAGCACAGGCAGCCCTGGGGCACTGTCTGGGGGTGTGGGCGATTGTGTGTGTGAGAGAGAGGGGAAGGCCCTGTGTTTTTTCATATGGTGTTCATGGACTCTGCCTTGAAAGGGGAGACCAATTAGGAGGAGGAGGAAGAGGAGGAGAAGGAGGAACAGGAGGAGGAGGAGGAGGAGGAGGAAGAGGACGAGGAGGAGGAGTTGGAGGAGTCGGAGGAGTCGGAGGAGGAGGAGGAGGGGGAGAAGGAGGAAAAGGAGGAGGAGGGGGGGAAGGAGGAAAAGGAGGAGGAGGAGGAGGAGGAGGAGGAGGAGGAGTTGGAGAGGTGGAGGAGGAGCAGGAGGAGGAGGAGGAGGAGGAGCACATGTTGCTAATGATATGGGGATGGAGATTTGAGGAAGGAGCCCTCCGTCCAGTTGTGGTTGAAGATGATCGCAGTTGCTCGTGCCATTGGGCTCATGTGCGGGCCCCCTTGTGAGACCTGGTCCACGGCTAGGTGTGTTCCCATCGAGGGGCATCGCGGGCCTAGGCCTATCGTTCCCTGGAGTTTCCTTGGGGTGTCCTTGGTTTGCCGGCCTCGGAGCGGGAGCGAATTGCCGTCGGCAACGATCTGTTCAGGATTTGCGCCCGCTTCCTTGTTGCTTGCGTTCTATCGGGAGCATGGTATAATGGAGCGCCCTGAAGTTCCTTGGAGAAACGGCGCCGCCTCCAGCTGGAGGCTGCCAGAGCTTGCTCAGAGCATGTCGTTGCGTGCTTCCTCGTCTCCCAGATTGATAAGTGCACGCTCCGTTCGCAGCATGTGCAGCCGACTCGTCTGTTCGGGGTGAGCGCTCCTAGCCTTGTAAGGCTCACCAGGTGTTGGAACGGATGCGGGAGGTGCAAACACCCAGGGGGTCACTTGGCGGCGGTTGGGAGGGAAGGGTCCAGCTACCGTACCACCAGTCCGTGTGAGGGCTGTGCCGAAGTGGGCGCGCTGCCGCCATGCGGTCGCAGCCACCGGGGCCCGCGGTGGAACTTCTCGTGGATGCGCGGAGTAATCGAGGGGTGTGCCGAAGTGGAAACGCAGCCATCCTCCTCCTCCTCCTCCTCCTCCTCCTCCTCCTCCTCCTCCTCCTGTGTGGAAAGTGTGCTGACATGGGTGCGGTGCCGCCACGCGAGCGCAGTCATTGTGGCCTTCGGTGGAGCTCCTTACGGTGCGCACGAGCCGTGCGAATGGTGTACCGAAATAGGTGCGGTGCCGCAACGCTAACGCACCAGCTGGGGCTCCTCCGCGTAGGGGGTGCGCCGAAATGAGTACGGTGCCGCTATGCGAACTCAGCCATTGGCGCCCTGTGCGGAGGTCCCCAAAACGCCATGAACCGTGCGAGGGGCATGCGGAAACGGACATGCGGAGGGCAGGGGCAGGATGGGAGGATGGGGAGGAGGTGAGGTGGAACGCGGCGCTGTCTTGTCAACACGAGGATCCTGCATCACAGGACGGTTGGGAATAGCGCAATACAAGTTGAGGACGGATAACTGAAGGGTCCTGATGGCACTCGCATTGACGCCTCTGCTGGAGGGATCGGGGTGCCCATTCTGAGGAAGGCGCTTCCGCCCGCTTCTATTGACCTCTTGCTTGCGTCAAGAGACGCATGGGGAGGGATGGCGGGGTGGTCGAGCCATGTCGAACATGCCAGTTGTCATTGGGGCGGTACGCAGTTGCTTCTAAGTTCCCAATCGCCCGTGTGCTCTTGCTTTACGTAGGTGTGCGACGCGTGCTGCCAGGAGACAAGTCCCTGCTACTCCTTCGGCACGGGAACCCGCAAGGATAAGGGGAAGGCCGCCGACCGACTTGCTGCCTCCTTGTTTGCTTGCGTTTCGCCTTTGGTTCACCGTGGGTTCATGCACATGTATGCGCGTCCCTGCGGCCAACAGGAAGAAGAGAAAAGGCATAGGATTGGGAAAACGGAGGAGCAGGAGGATGATGTGGTGGACGGCGCTGGAGCAGGAGGCGGACGGATGAGGTGGACGAGACGAAGTGGGGGCGGAGGAGGAAGGGTCCGTTAGCGATGACTGTTGGGACTCCTTGGGGGCCACTGGGCGTCTTGTGGAAGGCTTGAAGGAAACCCTCTGGGGCAACGTTAGACCCCCTTCGTGGCCTTGGTGATGTTCATGGGTAGCCTTGGAAACCTTGAGGAGTCTTGGAGATCCCCAAGGAAGCAAGCGTCCGGCTTGGCAGGAGTTTTGTGTTTACTGTCTGTTCAAGTTGCTACAGCCAGATATTTGCATCACTCGACCAGGATTCGCGCCGGGCGCGCCCGCCACCGTTCCCCTTGGCAGCGGAAAAAATGCGACAGCAGTAGTTTGAAACTCGGTGACCTGAATTAAAAGGTTTGCCCGAACATGTGACGGGCCTCCTGTCGGACGGCAAGCGAGCGGTCGACGAGCAACGGGCTGCTAGAACGCGCGCTCCTGGAATGGGAGCGGCGGGTGCATTCTGCGAGCCCCGTGTCGGTCGACGTCCGCTCGCCGACGGCAAATCCGCCGCCAATCCAGCAGACCCAGACCCCGTCATTCACGAATTGTTCATGACGCTCGTTCAGGATGTTCTTTTGTTTTGCGATGCCTCGAGTGTCGCGTTTCATGATTACTTGGTTCGGTTTTCCTTTAATTGTTTTGATATGTTCTGATTGACAGCGCATGCAACGGCAAGCCCTTAACATGCCTTGAGCGCCATTGTCGAGCCTTGATAACCGTTGGCAGCCCGTGGCAAGCCTGAAGCATCGCCTCCGGCTGTCAAGGCTTATGGCTGTTGTCCAGTGTTGAACGCTGACCGATCGGATCTCCGACTTGACATGGGTTTTAGCGCACGTCTCTACGCTGGACACACCAGAGCTCCCCACTCGCCCGGAGTTCTGTAGTGTTCACATTCGAATGGCCGCCATGTTGGTATGGAGACGAAAGTGAACCCTTAACGGTGGCCGACTGGATTTCGAGTGGCCCGCGCGGTGGGCGGGTCGCCCGCCGCGCGTGCGCAAGCGCGTGGCGAGTTCTTTACCGTCCACGACAGGAAAGTACCCATGCTGGTGCGAAAACATGTGTGCACCCTGTAGCGGTGCCCGACTAGATTTTGAAGTGAGCACGGGTTCTGGTGAACAATTTCATGCATGATCCATGCATAAAGCCCCCGCGCACGTGCGCGTGAAGAGTTCTGTCATGTCCACGGTCGGACAATCGCCATGTTGGCTAGGAAACAGGACTGGCCCATCAGCGGCGACCGACAAGATTTCGGGTGACCCGCGCGGTGGGCGGGTCACCCGCCACGCGTGCGCGCGCGTGGCGAATTCTGTGATGTCCACGGTAGGAAAAGCCACCGTGTCGCTCCCCTTAGCGGTGACCGACAGGATTTCGGGTGACCCGCGCGGGTGGTGGGTCACCTGCCGCGCGTGCGCGCGCGGCGAGTTCTGTTATGCCTTCATTTGGAAGGTTGCCGCGGTGGTCTAGGCATTAAATTGAAGCCGTAGCGGTGACGGGTATGATGTTGAAGTTGGCATGGGTTCCTGTTTCCGAACTATCTGCCCACGCGCGCGCGTGCGGAGGTCTGCGTTGCCCAACGCGGGAAAGTCGCCTTGCTTGCTTGGGAACACAAGTGGATTCTTAGAGGTGGCCGACAGGATTTCGGGTCACCCGCGTGGAAGGTGGGTCACCCGCCGCGTGCGCGCGTGGCGAAATTTGCAGTGTCCACAATTGGAGAGTCGCCATGTTGCTTTGGAAACACGAAGCGAGTCCTTGGCGGCGACCCATATGTTTTACGACGGGCACATGCGTTTTTACACAGTCCCGAACATAGAAAGACAACACGTTTGCGAGAAACTTGAAGCCAACCTTTTATGGTCACCGAGTGCGCGCGGGTGACGCGCGCCACCTGCGCGGCGCGTGGAGACATCGACTTTGTCCAGCAGCAGCTACTGACAGCGCGCGCGATTCTTGCAACGACCAAAGTTGTTTCCTATCTTCCTCCTCCTCTTCCCCCCCTTCCTCTTTATGATTCCAGGGCGTTGGAGTGCAAGGCCTTGCGCGCAAGGCCTTGCGCTTTCGCGCCCTGGGGCATGGGCCGCGGTCTGGGCCTCCGACAGCTTTGGAATCCACGCCCTTGGAGGGGCGGGGCCCGCTCGGGGCGGGTCGGGGCTGCGCCCGCGGTGCGCGGCGCGTTTGCCCCGTCGCTCCTGGGAAACACTCTGGCGGGCGCCCCCCGCGCGGCCCGCCGGGCGGGGGGGGCCCCGCGCCCGGGAAACGCTCCAGGGGCCCCTGGCGCCGTGCCCCCCCGGCGCGCCGCGGGGAGAAGCGCGGCGGCAGCTCTGGCACCCGCCGGGCGAAAACACAGTTGTAGCAACCAAAAACGAGCCAAGCTGCAGCAACCCAGAACCAGGCCACATGCAATAAATTGGTCGATGTCACGAGCCAGTTCACAACTGGAGCACATGAGTTCGAACGAAACTAGGAAAGAGCGCCCAGTCATCAGTAACTCACAAACGAGGCCAACTGTCATAATCCCAAAACGGGGCCACGCGCGGCAAATCGAAAGCGGAGGCAATTGCAGCAACCAGAAACGAGGCCAAGTGAAGTAACCCAAAAACGAGGTTATCTGTAGTCACCAATAAGCAAAATCAAGTGCATCAACACAAAAAACCAGGCCAACTGTCGCGACCAAAAACGAGGCCAAGTGTGGGAACGAAAAATCGCGTCCACTACAGTAGTGGATCTGTGATATTTGGGCGCGCAGCCTCGGGCCACGACGCGGGCCTGCCCGGGGCAGTTCCGTCGCCCCCCCCACTTCCCCCCCCGCCCTCCCCCGCGTTTGTCCTCGTCGTCGTCGTCATCGGGGTCGTTATCGCCGTCGTCGTCGTCGTCGTCGGCCCCTTCTTCCCCCCCCCCCTCTCGGAGGAGGAACTTCTTTGTCGTGGCAAGGGCCACGCGCGTTGCCAGTGGCCCTTGCTGCGCATGGTCGAAATCTCCACGCGCCATCAGGCTTCTCGCAAAGAGGTGTTTTCTATCTTCGGGACGGAGCGTTAAAACGCGGTGAAAACCAAAATCGCACGGGTCACCGCTAAGGGTTCGCTCATGTTTCCAGGCCGACCTGGCGACTTGCTAATTGTGGACATAACAGAGTTCGCCGCGCGCGCTCGGCGGGTGACCCACCCACCGCGCGCGTCGCTCTAACTCCTGTCGGTCACAGCTAAGAGTTCACTTGCGTTCTCAAACAAGCAATGCGATTCTTCCAGCGCGTGGGAACGCAGCATTCCCCACGCTCGCGCGCGGGCAGTTCTGACGCCAGAACCCACGCCAACTTCAACATCAAATCCGTCACCGCTAAGGACCACTTCTAGTTTCCAGGCTAGCATGGCGACTTTCCGATTCCGGACAATACAGCACTTGCAGCGCGCCCGCGCGCGCGTTGCGGGTGGCGCACCCACCGCGCGGGCCATTCGAAATCCTGTCGGCCACCGCTAAGCGTTCATTCTAGTTTCCAGGACGTCATCGCGATGTTCCTACGGTGGACATTCTGGAACTCGCCACGCGCGCGCACGCGCGGCAGGTGACCCGCCCACCGCGCGGGCCATCCGAAATACTGTCGGTCGCCGCTGAGGGCACGTGCGAAAGGGGATTTCTGCATGGGCCATGCATGAAATTGTACGCCAGAACCCAAGTTCACTTAACCACGAATTCCGTCACCGCTGAAGATCCATTTTAGTTCCCAGGCCAGCATGGCGACTTTCTGGTTGTGGGCAATACAGATCTCGCCACGTGCTCGCGCACGCCTCCCTCCCTCCCCCTGCCCCCCCCCCCCCCCCGTCCCCTCCCCGCCCCCCCCTCCCTCCTCCATCCTACCTTTCGCCTTCCTCGGACCCTCTGCGCGAGGGCCGCAAGTGGGCGGGCACCAGATAGAGAATGCGCGCGCAAGGGCAAGGTGAACCATGATGCGCGCGTGCCCGGGGTGACATGCGTCTCCCGGTTGCGGTTGCGTTTGCGCGCGCGGGCGGGTTTGAAATGAGTCGCCCGGTGGCGGTTGCGGTTGCGGTTGCAGTTGCGCGGGCGGGTTAATCTGCGCCGCCCGTTTGCGGTCGCGGTTGCGCGGCCGGGTTGAGTGGCGTCGCCTGGGCGGTTGCGCGGGCGGGTCGACGCGCGTCGCCCAGTTGCGGTCGCGGATGCGATGCGCGGGCGGGTTGAAATATGCCGCCCGGTCGCGGTCGCGGTTGCGCGGCTGGGTTGACACGCGTCGCCCGGTTGCGGCCGCAGTTGCGGTTGCGGTGCGCGCGCGGGTGGACATGTGCCACCCAGTTACAGTTGCGTTTGCGGTTGCGGGGGCGGGTTGAGATGCGTCGCCTGGTTGCGGTTGCGTCTGCATATGCGCGGGCGCGTTGACATGCGTTGCCTCGTCGCGGTTGCGGTTGCGCGCGCGGACGGTTTTGAAGTGCGTCGCCCGGTTGCGGTTGCGTTTGCGGTTGCGAGGGCGGGTGGGGGGGTGTCGCCCGGTTGCGTTTGCGGTTGCGCGCTCGGGCGGGTTGAAGTGCGTCGCCCAGTGGCGGGTGCGGTTGCGGCTGCGCGACCAGTTGAAATGCGTCGCCCGGTCGCGGTTGCGGTTGCGCGCGCGGGCAGTCTGAGCTGCGTCGCCCGGTTGCGGTTTCGGTTTCGTTGGCTCGGGCGGATGGACGCGCGTCGCCCGGCTGCGGTTGCGGTCGCGGTTGCGCGGGCGGTTTGACACGCGTCGCCCAGCTGCGGTTGCGCGAGCGGGCGGGCATGAGTCGCCCGGTTGCGGTTGCGGTTGCGCGCGCGGGCGG